GTTTAGATGAAGCCAGGGCTGCATAATGAGATACTGTCTGGAAAAAAATGAAATAAAAATGATAAACTGTAAATGTAATGGAATTTTCACTGTCAGCTTGATTAGATGTATAGTCACCATGGAAACACATCTCTGGGCATGCCTGTGAAACTATTTCCAGAAATGTTTAACTGAATAGGGGAGGTAAACCCGACATATGGGCAAAGTTTCATGGAGGTCAAGTTGAATAAAAAAGGAATCGGGTTGAGCAGCAGCTATTCTGCTTCCTCCTGACTGAGGACCCGCCATGACCAGGCACGTCCTCTCTGTGATGCCTTCCCCTACTGTGAGCCAGGTAAGCCACCTAGTCACAGTGCTGAGAAAGTGGCTGCTTTGGAGGGGCCACTAACTGTTCTGGTCATCTTAATGCTTACTGTGCTCTCCTCTCTGAGCCCTTAGCTCTGTATTAATCTGGGAGGTTTTCTTGACCTGGCATACTTTCAGTGCAGTCTTTTGAATGAGGCAAAAGTTCTGGGTGTTGGGGACAGTATGGTAGGAAGTATAGAAGTGGGGAAATTGTAAAGGAGATTGGATTGGATTGCTTACCTAGCATGGGTGTGTTCCGTTCACATGCACGCATACATGCACACACATGTACTCCAGCTTAGAGCAGAATTTGGTTCATCTAGGTAACCTAGAAAAACGTTGTAGGGAGTTCAGGAGATAAGAATGATGAAATTGGGCTGGAGAGATGGCTCAGAGGTGAAGAGCACTACTGCTCTTCCAGAGGTCCTGAGTTCAATTCCCAGCAACCACATGGTAGCTCATGAGAGCTGGTGCTCTCTTCTGTTCTGCAGGCATACATGCAGACAGAACACTGTAGACATAATAAATAAATAAATCTTTTAAAAAAAGAATTATGAAATCAAAGGGTTAAAAATGAGAAATGGGCTAGGCTTGGGGGTGTACACTTAATCCCAGCATGAATCCCAGGCTGATGTCTGTATTAGGATAGCCTGGTCTACATAGTTCCTGGCCAGCCTGGGCTATACAGTAAAATTTTGTCTTGGAGAGAGGGGAGGGAAAGAAGGAGGGGCAAAGAGAAAGAAGAAAGAAGGGAGGGAGGGAGAGATTGATAAGAATTTATATTTAATTTGATTTGGGTCTTTAGAGGAAAATTGAAAAGCCATTCTGCTGTTTGGGTGCTACATAAAGCAAATTAGATAGCCAATTCTTGTCCTCAGAACCTGCTACACAGTTAAGTACTTAATGGATATTACTAAAGGAGTTAAGATTTTTCAGACAAGTTTAGTTGGGCTTGACCCTTCTGAAAGCTGACTCGGGAAAGAGAATGTGGAGGGACAGAATGCATGCTTGCAGAGTGGCAGAATCAAGGGTTCATGAAGTCCAGGCCAGAACTGGTGGCCCAGGCACCAAACACACTTATCTTACCTTTTAAAAAGAAACATTTTTAGCATTAATGCTAAAATCCTCATGACACAAATTGTTTTCATGCGGAATGCCTAATGTTGGTTTCTTTCTGTTGAGTCTGTCACTGGACACAACTCTTCACTGCAAGCTGTAGCAAGCCTTTCAGGGAACATGGAATGAGTTTCTCAATAAACCCAAATGTGCAATATTTTTTACTTTAAAAAACTTTTATTTGGCTGAAGAGATGGCTCAGCGCTTAAGAACAGTATCTGCTCTTCCAGAGGTCCTGAGTTCAATTCCCAGCAACCACATGGTGGCTCACAACCATCTATATCCTCTACTGCCTCTTCACACGCAAATGGAGCACTCATGTACATAAAATAAATAACCAAAACTTAAAAAACTTTTATTTATTGGTTATTATTATGTGTGTATAGATCAGAGGACAATTTTGTGGAGTTGATTCTCTTCAACATTTCCATGGGTTCCAGGAATTGATCTCAGAGACTTCAGGGCCAGGCTACCATCATCTTTATCTGCCGAGCCATCTGATTGGCCCCAGGAAGTGCTTTTATTATTTTTTAAAAGTGATTCATTTATTTATTTTTATGTACACTATTTGCATGTACACCTGCATGCCAGAAGAGGGCATCAGATTTCATTACAGATGGTTGTGAGCTGTCATGTGGTTTCTGGGAATTAAACTCAGGATCTCTGGAAGAGTAGGCAGTGCTCTTAACCACTAAGCCATTAAGACATTTCTCCAACTTGTTTTTTTTCTTAAATTTTATGTACATTGGTGCTTTGTCTGCATGTATGTCTGTATGAGGGTGTTGGGTCCTCTGGACCTGGCGTCACAGACAGTCATGAGCTGCCACGTGGGTGCTGGAAAAATAGCTAGTGCTCCTAACTGTTGAGCCATTTCTCCCAGCCCTCCTAGGAAGTACTTTTACACTTGATCTTAGCCAAAAGGTTGAGAAGCGATAGGAAGTGCTTTTAATTGATAAAATTTCAAAAGAAAATTTCTGGTTTTTGAGATTCAGATCTTTGGGAACTGTTGTTTTCAAGCTCCTGACTGCTGATTGGAACCATCGGTTGCTCAGTATGTCAGAGAGACTCCTAGAGGAAAGACGGTAGACGTTTGGGTAGATCAGCTGGATTGTTCCTCCCGGTGTGTGTGGCTGCTGCTTGTTCATCAGAAAATGAACCATATGGCTAGACCTGCTGCCATCAGAGATGAAGATGTGTCATCCTTGTTAGAGTTCAGGAAACCATGGTAACAGGTAGAGATCACTGTCCTCTCGAGGAAGGGAGCGATGTCTGGGACTAATGTCTACCCCAGCACCACTCATTAGCACTCCCCTTAAAGACAGTTTCAGCGTTATTTTGAGTGCTATATAAACATGTCCATACATACACGGACGCTGTGTGTGGGTCCAGTGCCTGAGGGTCAGAAGACTGTATTAGACCACCCTGGGACTAGAGTTACAGGTGCTGGTGAGCAGCCATGTTGGAGCTGGAATTGAACCTGGGCTCCCTGCCAGAGCAACAGGTGTTATTAACCAATGAGCCAAGTTTCTAGATGTGTACATAATTCAAAGAACAGTAGTGAATGCTTGCACAGACCATGAACAGTGCCCTTGAAGGGCCACATGCCCATTCCTCTAACCAAACCAAACCAAAACTAAACTAAACACCATTTTCTTGCAACTTGTGTTGAATCCTCTCATGGGTCCATCCCATTATATTCCATTCTCTCTCTCTTCCTCTCTTCTCTCTCTCCTCTCTTTCTGCTCTCTTTCTCCTCTCTCTCTCGGTCTTCTTGTATGAAGCACAAGGGTTTCTTCAGGGTATATGCTTTGTTTTGTTTTGAGACAGGGTTTCTCTGTGTAACAGAGCCTGCCTCTGCCTCCCAAGTGCTGGGATTAAAAGCATGCACCTCCAGGCCTGACTTGGGTTGCAATTCTTACATTGTTAGGGTTGTAGGGTATGGTGGTTTGAACAGGTTTGGGTCCCATAGATTCACATGTTTGAGTTCTTGGGGAGTGGTGCAATTAGGAGGCATGACCCTGCTAGAGTAGGTGTGGCCTTGTTAGAAGAAGTTCGTCACTGTGGGGGTGGCTTTGAGGTCTCCTTTGCTCAGGCCCCACCTCTGCCCAGTGTAGCACAATCTCTCTTGGCTGCCTTGGGATCAGAAAATAGAACTATTGGTTCCTCCAACACCATGTCTGCCTGCACGTTGCCATGCTTCCTGCTGTGATGATAATAGACTAAACCTCTGAAACTGTAAGCAAGCCCCAATTAAATTAAAATTTTCTTTATAAGAATTGCCTTGATCTCTTCACAGCAATAGAAACCATAACTAAGACATAGGGTGTATGCGGCTTCCCTTTTGATCATGCCAGCTTGTTTTCCACTATCATCACCATTCCTCCTTCGACTAGTAGCGTGTGTAGTGTGTATTCACACCGTTTACATACTGATTCACATCTGGTCTCATGAGGATAGATCAGATTATTGAATGTATTGGAAAGTGCTTCTCGCACTTGATTGTGTATGCAAATTACCAGGGATATTCTCCTCCTTCTTTCTCCTCCTTTTCTTCCTTTTCTTTCTTTTGGTTTTGTCTGAAAGAGTGTCTTGGGCTGGAGAGATGTCTCAGTGGTTAAGGGCACTGGCTGCTCTTCCAGAGGACCCAGGTTCAATTCCCAGTACCCACATGGCAGCTCACAACTGTCTGTGACTCCAGTTTCCAGGGGATCCAACTCCCTCTCACAGACATACATGCAGACAAAACACCAATGCACATTAAAAAGTGAAATTAAGTGAAAGAGGTCTCACTGTGTAGCCTAGGCAATCCTCAGCAGTCCCCCCACCTCACCTCCTTCTTGCTGTCATCACAGGAGTACACATCCTGCAAAAGCAATAGTTGATTTCACAACTGTATCTTCAGAGGCAGTCAAGACCCCCCCATGGACTTCAGTTACGTGAAGTATACAGAAATAAAAACACTTTCACCCAAGATAGATTATAAAACATTTCTATTTTTTGTTTGTTTTGGTTTTGATGCAGGTTTTCACTGTGTAGTTCGAGCTGGCTTGGAACTCTTACTTTGTAGACCAGGCTGGCTTCAAACTCAATAGAGATCCTCCTTCCTATACCTCCTGAGTGCTGGCATTAAAGGCGTATGGCACCATGCCACACTGTATATACTGTATATATATATGTGTGTGTGTGTGTATGTGTGTGTGTGTGTGTGTGTGTGTGTGTGTATAAAGACCACTTATATGTCACAAAGCAGATTGCATCCAACTTAGATTACAGTATCGCTTTTTTCCTGTATGAAAACCAGTATAAATGGGCCTGGAGAGATGGCTCAGAGCTTAAGAGCACTTGCTGCTCTTCCAGAAGTCCTGAGTTCAATTCCCAGCAACCACATAGTGGCTCATAGGTCTAGTGCCCTCTTCTGGCGTGTAGGTGTACAAGCAGACAGAACATTGTAAACATAATAATAAATAAGCAAACCTTTTTAAAAATCAGTATAAGCATACTTAATCTAAGTTTTATGTTTTATTTCTGTTGTTTTGCAGATTGAACCCATCTCTGGAACTTCTGAATGTTTTTTACTAGTGGGAGCATTCTCTACACAGCAAAATCAATGGCTTAATTTGAGCAAGTGTTGGTGTGGCTCTGATTCTGCCGTGCTTCTGGAAGCTCCGAGTCTGAAGGAAACGAGGCTTTTTGTGATGACAATATGACTCACAGTAAAGGAGGATCTGCCACTTACCAGACAAGTGGCAGTCCACGCAGCACAGGAGGTTTTGTAGACTGGACTTTACATTTAAATACAGTTCAATCCGACAAGTTTTTGAACTTACTTTTAAGCATGGTGCCAGTCATTTACCAGAAGACCCAGGAGGACAGGCATAAGAAAGCAAACAGCATTTGGCAGGATGGATTGTCAGGTGCGGCACAGACCTTCACCAAGAGATCAGAGCCACATCTGGACTACCACGAGTTCTCGGAGCAGGCCTTCCACAGCAGCAGTGGCCTTGCTCCCGCCACCTGCAGCCCCAAGTATGACGACTACGCCGGCTATAGCTACTGCGACGGAAGGGAGGCTTCCGAAACCACCGCCATGCTGCGGGACGAAGATCTGTCCAGTGAGGGCGATGATGTTATTGTGGAAACAAACCAGAAGCTCCCGAAGGAGTCCAGCGGTGTCATGGCTCTGCAGATACTCGTGCCATTCCTGCTGGCTGGTTTTGGAACAGTTTCTGCTGGCATGGTTTTGGACATAGTACAGGTGAGTTTTCATCTTTAGTTTCACTGCATGTGTAATCGTGTGTGTGTATCAACCTTGAGTAGCTTCTTTAGTTTCTTTTCTTTTTAATTTTCTTTCTGAATAGCCCTAATTGTCCTGAACTGTGTTTGTAGACCAGGCTGGCCTCAAACTCAGAGATCCCCCTGCCTCTGCCTCCCAAGTGCTGGGATTAAAGATATGCACCACCATGCCCAGCCACTTTCCATGTATATTCCATATATATATTTATGAGGCGGGGTCTCCTCTTCTATCTGAAACATTTGAGCCATTGAAGTTCTAGAGGTCTGGACTGCCTCTGCCTTCTCAGCATTGAGATTAGGCATGTGTCATCATACTTGGCTTTCTGTGTTTTGTTTTTTTTTTTTTTAATTATTTAACTAATTTGAGACAGGGTCTTTCCATACCGTTCTGACTATCCTGGAACTCACTATGTGTGGATCAGGCTGGCCTTGAACTCATAGAGATCAATCTGGCTTCTGACTATGCCTCCCAAGTGCTGTATTTAAAGGCTATCTATCACTCCCTAAGGCTTCTCCCTCCCTCCCTCTCTCTCTCTCTCTCTCATAGGTTCTGGGCCTGAAGAGAGGTTAAGAGAACTGTCTACCCTTCCAGAGGTCCTGAGTTCAATTCCACATGGTGGCTCACAACCATTTATATTGAGATCTGATGCTCTCTTTTGGCATGCAGGTGAACATGCAGATAGAACACTCATATACATAAATAAATCTTAAAAAAATAGGTTCTGAGGATTGAATAGGTCCTTGTGCTTTTTTGACGGATCCCTCACCCCATCCTCTTCCCTTGTCTTCTCTTCTTTCTCTTTTTCTTTTTTCCTTATCCCTCCCCCCTTTCAATAGGGTTTAACTGCCTAGCTTTGACTGGTTTAGGTCTAATCTATTTGATGTTCTGTAAACATCTTGTATGTTTATAGGCATTTCTTTCTATTTAGGTTGGGGAATTTTTCTATTATGATTTTGTTAATATTTTCTGGGCTTTGGAGCTGGGAGTCTTCTTCAATTTCTATCATTCATAGGTTTGTCTTTTCATGGTGTCCCAGATTTCTTGGATACCTTGTGTCAGGAACAAAAAGTTTTAAAACTTTTTTTCTGAAAAAGATTTAACATTTTCTTTAACTGATGTATTGGTTTCTTTAATCATATCTTCTACAACTGAGATTCTTTCTTCCATCTCTTGTACTCTGTTGGTGATGCTTGTGTCTGTAGCTCCTGTTCTCTTCTCTAGGTTTTTCATCTCCAGGATTGGCTCTTCTATGTCAGAGAGGTCCTCAGTTCCTGAGCCACACCTCCTCCTCTTAGTGATTAAGAAGTTTTATTTGTGTTTGGTTTTGGTTTTTCGAGACAGGGTTTTTCTGTGTAGCCCATATCTGTCCTGGAACTTACTCTGTAGACCAGGCTGGCCTCAAACTTAAAGAGATCCACCTGCCTCTGCCTCCCAAGTGTTGGGATTAAAGGTGTGTGTCACCATGCCCAGTTTGAAAACATTTAAAAAAAATATTTGTGCTTCTTGTGTGGGTATATCCACACAGAGCTTCTGTGGAGGCCAGAGACAAGTCACAGGAGTTAGTTTTCCCCTTCTCTGTGGGTTCCCAGGGTAGAACTTGGGTGGTCTGGCTTGTCATCAAATGCCTTGACCCAGCCAGCCCGCTCTTTCTACACATCCCCAGTTGCCTTGAAGCCCAGATGGGTTTCCCACCAGGACCCTGAAGAAGGTGGCTCTGCTATCTGATCCCCTTCAGGCCTCAGTTCTTGCTTTATTCAGAGCAGCCTCCAGAGAGTCTTTAGAGGCAAAAGGAAAGGGTCTTGTTCTCCTGTGTGGATTTTAGTTCTGCTTTTCTCACCTGTCCTGTTATCAGTGATGAAGACTTGTTTTTGCTGGCATGAGTGATATGTCAGTTGCTACAGTCTCCTACTGGGACAGTCCTGTCTTTAATTACATTCGTAAAATATCTTTCTGGGTTTTTAGATATTTATATGAACTTTTCAGTTCAGCAAGCAATTTTGTATTTGTATGAGGACCATTCATCACTATTTCATTTCATAGATGGAGACATCTGAGAGCTCTCTCCTCCAGGACCACAGAGCTAGCTGTGACAGGTCCATTCCTGGAGGCACAAATTCACTTCATCAGGGCATGGTGGTGGCACATGCCTGTAAGGCAAGCACCTGGGGAAGCTAAGAGGGGCATCGCAAGTTTGAGGTACACCTGTTCTAGTGTATAGGGAGTTTAAGAATCCCCTGAGTTCCAGAATGACACCCCGTCTTAAGAGAATTATTTTCAGGTTTGTGGTAGTTTTGTGATCCTGTGGTATGCCCCCTCTTAGCTTCATGCCAGGAAACATAGGACTGCAGATTACTGCATATGTAACTCTGAACTTCTTTTCTCTTCATTTCTTTCTTTCTTGGACCTTGGGAATGTCATTGTATCTATTTAAATATTTTTTTCTTTAAGAGTTGTTTGTTTTTTTTGTTTGTTTGTTGTTTTTTTTTAAAGAACACACTCTTTTTTTTAAAATTTATTTATTTATTATTTATACAGAGTTCTGCTTACATGTACACCTGCATGACACAAGAGGACACCAGATCTCATTACAGATGGTTGTGAGCCACCATGTGGTTGCTGGGAATTGAACTCAGGACCTTTGGAAGAGCAGTCAATCCTCTTAACCTCTGAGCCATCTCTCCAGCCCCGAGTTGTTTGTTTTTATTGTATGTGCATTGGTGTTTTACTGCATGTATGATTGAAGGTGCTAGACAGTTGTGAGTTGCCATGTGGTTGCTGGGAGTTGAACCCAGGTCCTCTGGAGGAGCAGCCAGTGCTCTTAACTGATGAGCCATCTCTCCAGCTGCCCCTCTTTAAATCTGTATCTCCTCATCTGTAAATATAATAACAACAGTGTGATTTTCCTGTGAGATGTGTAATTAGTGCAGGATCCCAGACTCCATTCCAGATGACAAAGTCCCACATCCTGAACTCGTAACCCTTAGCTACATGGACTCTGGCATCATGAGATGAGGAAGTAACTGAGCATGGTGCCTGGCATCGTGCATCTGGGATGCAGAGGCATAAGGATCGCAAGTTTAAGGCTGGTCTAGACTACAGTAGTGAGTTAATGGCTCGAACTGTCTTAAAAACTCAAGGGCTTGTGTGTAGCTCAGTGGTTCGCCAAGCATGTGATAGGCTGTGGTCTTCATCTTAAGCACAAAAAAAGAAGTATGACAGAGTAAATCTCAGGAGTGTCCGGATTAGTTGTAGTTATTAGTGTTAGTTGTAGAGTGGGATGGAGGATCCTAATCTAGGAGGATTCGGTGAGAGCACACTTCCACTGAGTACATAATGTGTGCTGTCCTTTAAAACAGCCCAGTACAGTGCTGCAAGCCTTTAATCCCACACCCAGGAGCCAGAGGCAGGCAGGTCTCCGATCTTCAGAATGAGTTTCAGGCCATCTAGGGCCACGTGGTGAGATACTCTCTCAATAGCAGTGACAACAACAAAGGAGAAGCCAGGTTGGAAATAAACCCCTCAGGTCTTTAGAAATGTCCTTGTTCTAAAGGAAACTTGTTTGTTTTCTTTCACAGCACTGGGAGGTATTCAAAAATGTGACAGAAGTTTTCATTTTAGTCCCCGCCCTTCTTGGTCTCAAAGGGAACTTGGAAATGACGCTGGCTTCTCGATTATCCACTGCAGTAAGTGGTTTTTCCTGCTTCCTATTCTGTGTACCACTTATTTCTCTCTACCTAGAAGACTCTGTGATGAGAAAGTCAGTTTTCTTCTATAAGTTTCCTGACCTCAGAATTATACTAAATAGTTTTGACTGACATAGGCCCCTGAAAGTTCTCTCACCTGAGAATTTAGACCTGCTTTCTCTTATCACCAGAAGTAGCAATATGTTTGCCTCCTTCGATGCCAGGCCACACTCATGGATCCAGTTTTATATACTTTATTGGCTGTAAGCTTTTTTTTTTTTTTCAGACAGGGTCTCAAATTTGCTTTGTAGACTAGGCTGCCTCCTGCCTCTGCCTCCCAAGTGCTGGGATGAAAGGCGTGTGCCACCAAGCACATGGCTGCATTTTTTTTTTTTTGTATTATGTAATCCCACAGTTTGATTTATAACCCATTATTGGATATCACTCTGGAATGGTCTATTATTATAAAAAACACTATGATAGTAGCTGGAGAGATTTGACTCAGAGGTTAAGAACACTTACTTACATGGGATCAGGTTTCAGTTCATAACACATGGCAGTTCACAGCTATCTAAACTCCAGTCCTAGGAGACCTGATGTCCTCTTTTGGCCTGCAAGCACAAAGCATGTGGTATGCTTACATACATACATACATACATACATACATACATACATACATACATACATACATATATGTAGATGGTGGTGGGGGTGGGAATAAGATGTCACTCTGTAGTCATGGCTGGCCTGGAACTCCTTAAGTAGCTCAAACTGGTTTGAAACTCCCAAAGATCCTCCTTCCTCTGCCTCCCAAGTGCTGGGATTGAAGGTGTGAACCATCATGCCTGGCATGACAGTGTAAGTGAGTGACAGTGCATAGAGTGGACATAAATCTGAAGTAAACACAAGGTAGAACAGAACACTTATCAGATACTGACTTATTGATTTGTCCAGGGATTTGCTGAAAGCACACCTTACACTACGTGTTTGCCAAGCATGGCTTCACCTGTTACCTGAAGTGGAATGACCTGGGGAAATACCTGAAATGGGTCATTTCCCTTAACAAGCTGCTGTTTCCGTGCATGCTTCTATAAAATCTTGTCTGCCATGCTTAGATAGGTTTTCTTTAACAGTTGGGCTTGGGGCAAGAAAACAATGGTGACTTATACATATTTACATAGTTTAAGATTATAAATAGATTTGGAAACTTAAAACAAAATTCTCATAAGATCTGAAAGTCCAGCCGGCGTGGTGGGACATGCCTGTAATCCCAGCACTTGGAAGACAGAGGCGGGAAGATCTGAGTTCGAGGTGAGTTCGAGGCCAGACTGGTCTAGAAAGCAAGTCCAGGACAGCCAAGGCTACATAGAAAAACCCTGTAAACCAAACTAGATAAAAAAAATTAAAATATGAAACTCCAAGCCAGGCATGGTGGCACACACCTTTAATCCCAGCACTTGGAAGGCAGAAGCAGGTGGAGCTCTGAGTTTGAGGCCAGCCTGGTCTACAAAATGAGGTACAGGACAGCCAGGGCTACACAGAAAAACTCTCTTGAAAACAACAAATAAACAAAAAAGGCAGTTTTATATTTTCAAACCCAGAGTTTAAGAATACATTCTTCATGAACTGATTGGCCTGCTCTTTGATCACCTCCCTCTGAAGGAGGAGCAGCCTTACCAGGCCACAGAGGAAGACAATGCAGCCAGTCCTGATGAGACCTATAGACTAGGATCAGAAGGAAGGAGAGGAAGACCTCCCCTATCAGTGGATTGGGGGAGGGGCATGCTTGGAGAAGGGAGAGGGAGGGTGGGACTGGGAGGGGAGGAGGGAGGAGTTTACAGAGAGATACAAAGTGAATAAAGTGTAATTAATAAAAATTAAAATAAAAATATTTTAAAAAATACATTTTTCTCAAGTGATAAAATAAATGCATTTATAACTCCTTAAAAAAATAAGGTATAAGGGCTGAAAAGACAGCCCAGTGGACAAAATGCCTGACTTGCAAGTGTGAGGACCTGTGTTGTTTTTGTTGTTCTCTAGTTTTTTTAAAGCCAGGTGTGGTAGTGCATGCTGTAACCCCAGTCCTGGGGAGGCAGAGACTCGAGAAGCCCTGAGTCTGTGGCCAGCCAGTGTGGCCTGTTTGGTCAGTTGCAGACCAGTGAGACACCTTATCTAAAAAACAAAGTGATGACACCTGGAGAATGACAGCTGAGCTGTGCCCTAGCCTCTATTCACATGTGCATACACCACACCATACACACATACACACACCACACGTACCATTCACACACACCATAATACACACACACATCATACACATACAGCATACACACCACACTTACCATACACACAGCATAATGTACACACACACACCGTATACAGACACTATACCATATACACACATACACACAACACCCCCCCCGCAGGTACCACGTGCACACACATATCACATACATACCACACACACGCACACACATATACCTCACACACTACACATACACCACACACATACCATTAAAAATCTAATAATGAAACTGATAACTGTTTGAAATTTGAATTTCCTGCTTATCCATTATTTCAGTACCTTGTTATTTGATCATGACATTTACTGAAATGCTGGATTTGGATTTCAGTCCTTGATCATTTGGCATCCAGATGGAGTGTGTGCTGGGCATCCCCCCCCCCCCCCCGGCCTTTGCCTGTAAGAAGGAAAAACAGAAGCATCTGTGGCTTTACCGTGGGTTAAGAATCAGTGCAAGAACATGAGTCAGTAAGGTGTCTTCCAGGAGAAACTGAGGCAGAGGTCTTCAGAAACCATAGTGGAAACATTTGGGGAGGAAGACCGTTATGGGAAGGGAATGAAAATGTGGTTTCTGCTTCAGTGGCTGCAGAGTGGACTTTGTCCTGATAAATGCAGTTAAGCAATGTGATAACCTTGCCAGGAATAATGAAGTTTTGGCTCATCACCTCAAAGAACATTCTAAAAGCATTTGTTATTCTTGAGCCTTGGCCAGCATTTGTTTAGACTCATAATAGATTAACTATGCCACTCTATTTCAAAATAAGTCAGGCTGTAGGGAATCCAGTTAAAAAAGAATACATTTTAAATAAGATTTTCTGTCTTTAATCCACATGTGTGTGTTTGTTTCTTTTTTTTGAGACAGGGTCTCTCTTTGTAGCCTTGGCTGTCCTGGGCTCGATTTGTAGACCAGGCTGGCCTTGAACTCACAGAGATCCACTTGCCTCTGCCTCCCTGAGTACAGTGATAGCAAGTGTACACCACCGAGCCTGGCTTAGTCCGCATGTTAACGTCAAGTCTCATAATGGTGAATCTAACCTTTTGGGGGATGGCTGTCAGGACAGTGTGCTGGCTAGTTTTATGTGAGCTTTTCACATGCTAGAGTTATCTGAAAAGAGGGAATCTCAACTGAGAAATGCTTCCAAAGATCCAGTTATAGGGCAGTTTTCTTAATTATTGATTCGGGCCCAGCCTATTGTGGGTGTTGTCATCCCTGGCCTGGTGGTCCTGGGTTCTATAAGAAAGCAGGCTGAGCAAGCCATGCAGAACAAGCCAATAAGCAGTACTGGTCCGTGGCCTCTGCATCAGCAGGCCTTCAAGTTCTTGCCCTGTTTGAGTTCCTGGCCTGACTTTGATAAACAGTGATATGGAAGTGCAAGCCAAATAAACCCTTCTCCAAGTTGCTTTGGTCATGGTGTTTCATCACAGTAATAGTGGCTAACTAAGACAGACAGGGTGTCAAATAAGTGAGGATTTGAGATAGGGACATCCTAGACAATGCAAAGGGCCAGAGGCTAAATTGCTGTTGATCTGATGGGGGGGGGTATTTCTTCCTTATAGAATATGTGTGGATGGGGCATGTCATGTGTGTGCATGTGCTCCTGGAAGCCAGAAGAGTATGTCTTACTTGCCTGATGTGGGTGCTGGGTTCTCTGTGTTGGATTTTTGCAACAGGGTTTCCTCTGTCCTGTAACTATCTATAAACCAGGCATTCCTTGGACTCAGAGGAATGTTTCTGCCTCTCAAAAGTTGGGATTAAAGGTGTGTGCCACCACCACCTACCTGCCCGGCTAAGATGGGTGTTGCTTAAAGTGTGGTCTTTTAGTGTCAGTACCAACAGCCTGTTAGAAATGTAATTTTTTGGAACATTCCAAACCTACTGAGCCAATATGCAGTTAGTAATCTGTCTTTAAAATAAACTGTCTTGGGACTGGAGAGATGGCTCAGTGGTTTGCAGCGCTCACTGCTCTTGCGGAGGACCCGAGTTAGGTTCCTAGTACCCACATGGTAGTTTAACAGCTCTAACTGTAGTTTCAGGGGACTGTGACACCCTCTTCTGGTTTCTTTGAGCACTGCATCCATGTAGGGAACATGCGTACATGGAACAAAACACTCAAATACATAAAGTAAGATAAATTAAAAAAAATAAATAAGCTCTCCAAAGGTTTGTACAGTGTACATTAAGGTTTGAGAGGCCTTAGGGTTGGGGCCAGGTGGGAGAAGGGAAATCCCAGAAGACAAAGTCAGAGAGATAGCCAGGAGCCAGCTGACAGAAAGCCTTGCAGCCTGTTGTAGGGCCTTTGGCTGCTTGTGCATTGGGGCCCATGGAAGGTTTTGACAGAGGAGAGGTGTGAGCCAGTAGACATCTTTAACAGATTGTTGGACTGTTGAGTTGAAATATGGGTGTTGGTGGCCAAAGGGCTAATGCCAAGTGAGCAGTCTGTTGCTTTGATTTAAGCTAAAATGGTGTTGATTTGGATTGTGGTGGCAATAGTAGATGTGGTGAAGTCATTGGGCTCTAGAACCAGTTGTTTGAGAATGATGAAACTGGGTGATGGAGGTATAGAGATTGGAGAGTAGTCTGCTTAAAGATTGGAGCTAGATACTCTGTACTGTGTAAGGGCACAAACATGAGTAGATGGAAAAGTAGTAACCGTGGCACTGATCTGTGATGCATCATCACTACCCAGAGAGGCAGGCCTCAAGTGTGTGAGGCTGAGGGTGCATATCCTTAGATTGGGCTAGTAATATAGCAACAAGTGACTGGCTTCTTAGGAACAACCCCGGAACCTCAGCTCTTCCGGACTCTCTACCCATACTCTCCACTCTCTGTCCTGTTCTCTTACATCATTGCTTTTCCTCCTACTTGTTTTTATTTCTTTTTGTTTGTTCTTTTTTCATAATTAGAGGATTTAAGAATATTTAATTAAATAAAATATAATTATTTCCACCTTTCTTTTTGTTCTTATACCCCTCCCATGTCTGCCCCATCCATGCTGGCTCCTAAGTTCATGGCTTCTTCTTTATCTTCTGTTGTTACATATACATATAAACAAATACAGAATACAACTTACCGCATCCTTTCAGTGTTGCCTGGATGTGCATGTTTCTAGGGCTGACCACTTGTGTAATAGGCCATTATGTTGTGGATTTTTTTACCCCTGGCCCCAAGCTCCTGGAATAATGACTTGTGAGACTCAAACAGTATACTATAAATACCTTGGCCATATAGCTAGGCTCTTCTCTGACTAGCTCATAACTTAAAATAGCCCACTTTACTGTTCTGCCATGTGGTTGGCTACCTCTGTTCAGGTACCATTCATCCATCTTCCTCACATCTTGTGGGTTGAATCTCCTGCACCTGGATCTATCCCAGAATTCTTTCTGCCTCCCAGATGTTCCACTTCCTATTTCCTGCCTATACTATAGGCCATCAGATTTTTTTTTTTTAATTTACAGGTGTTACATTCATACAACACACAAGATACTCTCTCAACACACTTGGTATTGAATAACTAATGGAGACTATTTTTTCCTATCTCTATTATCACTTGTGTGATATTCTCCACCTAGCAGTGGGGTCCCATGAAATATATACTGGAATGGCAACTGGTGTTAGAATTCTTCAGGCCTTGTTTAGGCAGCTATGTTGTTGAGATTTCCCTGTTGTGGCTAGGAAGCACAGTATCACAGCAGACGCTTTGGTCCTCTGGTTCTTGTAATCTTTTCACTTTCTCTTCTTTTACATTCCCTGAGCCTTTAGGGAAAAGAGTTATATTGTAGATGGCTATCCCATGGCCAGTTGTTCTCAGCATTTTGAAAAGTTGTAGTTTTCTGTAATGTTCTTTGCTGCAAAAGAATCTTTTTGTTTTATATGTGTGTGTGTTTTGTCTGTATGTATGCCTGTATGAGTGTGTGTGGTATAGGGCAGAAGCCAGAAGAGGGCATTGGATTCCCTGGAACTGGAGATAGAGACAGTTGTGAGCTGCCATGTAGGGGCTGGGAACTGAACCCTTGTCCTCCTGAAGAGCAACCAGTGCTCTTAACCACGGATTCCTCTCTCCATTCCAGGATAAAAGTGTGTTCTTTGATGAGGACTGAGGTCTGTGGTTATAAGGGTAAATATTTAGAGTGCAGCTAGGAATTATCCTGGTTTAGGAAAGTGCCTGCAGTAGGTTCTTCTCTGAGCTCCATGACCTCATCAGCCGTGTGTAGTTTGTGGGCGTGTGGTATGTGAGGGTGGAAAAGGAAAGACTGACTGGTGTTGGGGTGATCGAAGACACAGTGTAAGCAGTGGTGTGGGGAACAGAGCCACGGGACTTGGCAAGGAGGATGTCTGCATGCCCACCATTTCTAATTGCCTTCCAAAAGTCAGGGCCTCCACTTCCCTGGTGCCTCCCAGCGGTAAGTAATTCCTGTCATGCAGTAACCTGAGTATTTGTACAGGCTGGAATTGTGTGGAATGTAGCTCCTTGCCTTAGAAGAGGTTGATGGCACCAATTGACTCTGGCATGAATTTCCTAAGTCGGTACCCTCATTCTGACATTCTGCCATCCTTGATCCTTATAGATCCTAATCCACGTGTGTCGCTGCTCTTTGTCAACACCTGTGGAGGCTTTATGTCTGACAGCTTTTATGGAGTCATCTTAGATTGCTGCAACGTTAATCTTCCCCTCCCTCCGGAGCTAGAAACCTGAGGCAGAGTCACTCCTTAAACATTGCTCTCTTGAGTGTAGCTCCAGATTTTTAGAGCTACAAACATGATGGGATCAATAGTTATTGTCAGGTTTAGCAAATCTATAAAGACTGCATGAGTAATTATTCTAAAGCGCCGGGAAACCTTAGTATTTGCATTAGCTGGATACTTTGAGGCCAAAGTCCAGAAGGAGACTGCAGGATAGAAAATGTTTCCTAACGAAACAGATGGCATCTTGGTGTGTCACTTTAGCCTGTTGGCCTGCTGCTGCACAGCCAGCCCTGGTGTGGCTGTGGTTAAACCCACCTGTAAACAACAGCGTTATGTGTTTGTGGATCTGGGTACTGAGCCAGGGCCTCGTGTGCGCTGTATCTCCTTAACTCACTCTTGTGAAGATTTTTTTAAAAGTTAAAAATATTTATGTAGTATGTCTGTGAGCATGCAAATAGCATATATGTGTGTGTGTGTGTGTGTGTGTGTCTGTGTGTGTGTGTGCAAGATTGGGACAGCTTGCTGGAGTAGTTACCTCCTTCCACTGTGTCACTGTGTGACTTCCAGGAATCACGCTCAGATTGCCAGGCTTGAACAGTGAGCACCTGTACTGCCGAGCCATCTTGCAGGCTCCAGATGGTTTTATAACATTTGAAAATCTTCCAGGATTAGATGATGAATAATTAAAGTCTAGCCCAGTGTAATATATTTATAAATTGTGTGTGTGTGTGTGTTGCTAATGATTGTCCATTGCTTGCTAAATTGCTACGTTAGAAAAAGTTGGCAAATTTGGATGTGTTTTTTTGGTTTGTCTTTTTTTGGGGGAGGCTGGGGGGAGTTTCAGACAGGGTTCTCTGTGTAGCCTTGGCTGTTCTGGACTCACTTTGTAGAACAGACTGGCTTCTAACTCACACAGATCTGCCTGTCTCTGACTCCCAAGTGCTGGGATTATAGGCATGCACCACTGCACCTGGCTGGGATGTCTATTTTTAAAATCCTGAGTAGTTGAGAAAATTGTCAGGCTTGCAGAGCAAAGGAGTATGTGAATACTAACCTTATTTTGGAAAGTATTCTTCCATTTACCAGAAAGATGTTTATACATTTTGATAATTGGAGGTATACAATCAAAATCTGCTGAACCTACTGAATTCTTACTGCTAATAATTTTACTCATGACTCAAATAAACAGGAATGGTTTGTTTATATCCTGCTCTTTGGCAATTTTTCGGATTATATTAGTTTTATGCAATGAAATTACATGCTGACAACTCAGAATTATACTGTTATTTCTGTTGGGCCTCATTATACCAAATTTGGCATGTGAGGATGATAATTGATAATGTAGGTATGACATCTCCTAGTAGATGGTCGACAATAACTTGTCACCTAAAAACCTATTTGCCCATCTTGGCCAAGCTGGATGTCACATAGCAGGATTGTGGTGTAAGGAATTGTTCTGAGCACAGGCTGCACACAGCAGGTTTACTAAAGGGGTGTTTTGTACTTTAAGACTTGGAGTTCTGTTTAAATAAAGCAGAAAACAGGGTGACACATGAAATTATCCTCCTTACAGGTAAATATTGGGAAGATGGACTCACCCATTGAGAAGTGGAATCTAATCATTGGCAACTTGGCTTTAAAGCAGGTAAGTGACACATTTATTTACAGATCTTGGATGTGAAGTTTACCATTTGTTTCACAAGACACCAAAATAGTAACTTAGTACCCCAACAAGGTGACAGAATCAGTTAATTGATGCCCACAGCCTTTGGAAGTTATTTTTATTTCTCTATCTAGAAGCTGATCAGGTTCTTCCAAATGTAAAAAAGTATACAAATACTGAAAACCATAAAAATCAACTGTAACTGTAATAGACTAGCCTTTGTATTAATATTTATACAAATATTTAAGATGTCGTTGTTTAAATACTGTCTTAGTTACTGTTTCGTTGCTCTGAAGAGCATGGCCAACTCTTACAGAAGAAAGTAGTCAATTGGAGGTTTGCTTACAGTTTTGGGGTTTGATTATCATGGCTGGAAGCAGACAGGCATGATGTTTGAGCACTAGCTGAGAGTTTTCTGTCCTGATCCGTAAGCAGCAGGCAGAGGGACAGAGGGAGGGGGGAGTGGAACTAGGACTGACTGGGCCTGACAAGGGCTTTTAAAACTTGCAAGTCTACCCCCAGTGATTCACCTCCTCCAACAAGGCCACACATCCTAATCCTTCCCAGTCAGTTTCACTAAGTGGTGACTAAGCATTCAAATATATGAGCCTGTGGGGCCATTCTCATCTAAGCCTCCACTTGGGCTATTTCTCTTTTATTTATGACCCTATTCCTATCACGACTGTAATTCTTTTGGGGACACAGGATCTCATATATCCCAGGCTGGCCTAAACTTGTAATGTAGGTGAGGATGACCTTGAACTTCTCCTGTGTGTGAGGATTACAGATGTGGTCCACCAGTCCTATTTTATGTGGTGACTGGGATTAAACCCATTGCTTTGTGCATGTTAGGTGAGCACTCTTCCAGCTGGCCCCCATATCTAGCCTTGTCTTTATTATTTTTGAGATAGACTTCCAGTGTTGCTCAGGATGGCCTTAATCTTAGAATCCTCCTGCCTCAGCTGCTTCTTCTTCTTCTTCTTCTTCTTCTTCTTCTTCTTCTTCTTCTTCT